TTCCAAGCACTCTGGATGGTGTCTCTAGGCAATGGAAATTGCCATCTTCTCCTGGCTGCGTCAGAGCTGGGCACTGAGCCCACTGTGTGTTATACTTGCAAATTCTCACAAATGGAGACAAGTAACTGCACAGGCAAAGATTAATAGACAGCTGCCATATTATGCAGTCCTGGTCAAAATTCCTTAGGGCATCCCGACATTTTGTGGGCACTTAAAGAGTCATAGGGGCAAACTACTCGTTTTCAATGTTTTGTAGAAGGCTGGTGTTTGAGAAGCCTCATGTCGAGCAACTATAAGCCTATACTTGGCCTAGAAGTCATGCACAGGCAAACTACATGATACAGTAGTGCTGTTTCAAACACCAATGAAAGTCAAAAGGACAATACAGAAGCTGGAAAGATGTAGTCCATTATTAGTTAAATGAAGTTTTGTGTTTACCTGCTGTTGCATTAAGTGAAGCGGTAAAGCAGTGCGATGGTGGAAATTAGGAGAGAGCGGTATGTCATCTTGACTGCTTTGTCGGCGGAGGCATTCGAAGTTAAAGGAAGATCGTCTGTTTGCTACAGGGAAACCATAATTCATTAGGAAAATAAAATACTTTTCCTCAAAGTCTATTATTTCTAGAATTCCAGTGTGAGTCAACTATCACACAAGTAAGAACATATCCCCAGTAAGAAACAAGCTGTACTAACAAAAGAAAGCAGCTGCTTATAAGATAAAGGATAGACTCATCATAGGAGCAAATGCAGTCCTGTGTAGAAACCATATGAGCAACCTAACATGACAGAATGTGGAACAGCTGGTTCACAAAGCAAGCTTGTGTTATATAGCAGACTGGTTCAGACGCTCAACTTCAGAGTTTTGCTATAAACTGCTGTGAATAGTTACAAAGAGTTTCTTCTGTCTTCCCCATGGTTTCAAACTCTTCATTCTAATGAACCAGACTTCCCAAAGGAAATACTAAACCCCCAGTTCCTTGGAAGCAATGTGCAATATGAAAAACCATAGCCAAGTCAAAGTTGACTCATGTTGTCTATTCCTGCCGTTTATTCTGTTACTTATGACAACGATAAGCCACCATCTCTGCTGTTATGTATGCGGTTGTTTTTCATGTAAATGCTAGCAAGGAAAAAGTAGAAATCTAAACTGGATCAAGACATTTGGCTGATGTGGAAATGATTTCGGCTGGTCTTGGTGAAAGCCTGCGGAACAATGGGAAGCGGCGCATGGGTATCATCGCTCTGGGTTAGCTTCAGTGTGAAGAAAGCCTGGACGCTGAATCCAGATACGCACTCGCAGCTGCAAGCATCACAGTAGAAAACTGGAAAGAGCCTGAGTGTACAAAGCAATGACACAAAATTGTGCTCTCTTGAGAATTACTGAAACTATTCTTGGTATTCTTTTTCCCAACATCAAGAATTTGTGAACAGAGTTGAAGTGCCATAGACTGAGGATTCCTCACAGTTACCACCAGACACTTAATGCTGGATGCTAACAAGCAAGGTTCCTTAAAAAGCCATGGAACTAGAACAGGTGCCTCCAGGAGGTGATTCAGTCCACTTGATGCAACCTTTGCATCTCTTTCCATTGTCTCTATGGTAAATCCAAATACAGGAATGTAAGCCTTAGCTCCTGATCCTAACAAATGCTAAATGTCCCAAAACCAAAACGAATAAAAAGCAAACCAAAAAGTCCCCCCATCCAAAACAAGACACTGCTTTGCACATGCTTCTCCCCAGGAAAAAGTCTGAAAGAACATCTTAATTATTTCTCAGTACAATTCTGGAAGTTGCTCAAATACTGTGGTGATGAGTTTTGTATAAAAACCTCTAGAAAGCTTGACTTGGAGCTCAGTGGACTATCTACAGTACTCAGCCAAGGCACTGTATGCTACATTAACTTGGGCAGAATCCAGATGCTAGCAGGAACTGTTTAGTGCAATGGTGCAGGTTGTTTTTTTTCTTTTTCTTGTTTCTTTTTTCACATGAGAATATCAAGGCTTCCTCCCCAGGCCAAATAGCCCATACGCTAGTTACAAATAATAGGCTTAAGCTTCTTTAAAAATCTGCTGAGGTACCAAGCCTCTAAAATTTCTCAGCTGTGTTCCTGAACATTGAATAAAGGCCTGACTGTGTTCTTGTGACATACTGATGTAAGTCAAAGGACTTCCTACATTACCTGTACGCAACTTGGATCAGAACCAGGTCCTCCTATCCTAGGATATCAAATACCCTCTTTATCTAGTACATTTATCTAGTCTCTTGTACATAAGATAAAAAGTGTAAGCTTCCTCTAACGAAGTCCCTGCCTAATACTGTCAACAAACTTTATCAGAAAAGTTAAATGAAAGGCTACATGCACAGGAAGCCTTCAACCCTCCCCTTGCAACACTTCCATGGGAAGACCCAGAGGATTTTTATAAGGAGGTTGTTCTCCTGCAACGTATGGAATGGATATACAAAGCATCCATCTGTTTCTTTGGCTTAAAATTCCTCTGCTATCAGAAAAGCTTGTAGAAAGGTGTACAGGAGTCTCCTTTCACAGTCTCCCCTTGTCTGATGTCTTTTCCTTCTGCTACTGGAAGAGAGCTAGCAGCTTTACATACATTTCACTACCATTCATCTGAGCTATTTACCCTCCATAGTGCAAGACTCGTATTCTTTCTGCTTTTTCCATCTCTGCGCCTTAAGGTCAGAAAGCCAAATAGCAGAGAGCATTACTAGTCTTGCAAGGAGCTGAGTGCCAAAGTGAGAATCCAACACGGATGGTATTGCTGAAGAATGTTTCCTTTATTACGTAATATTTTGCTGCTGTCCTTTACTACAGCTTTTGGTAGCTTTAAACTACCAAACCTTAGACATTGTATAATGACCCCACTACACTTGTCTCTGAAACACGTTTATTTTTTAAATCTATACCTGCATTTCCTTTAGGGTGCCTGAGGCAGGAAAGGACTGAAACCCATTTTCCTACCCGTGGGGTCCTTACAGTCATGCTTCCACAGACAAATGGACTGTGATTCTGGCTGCTAGCACCATCAGAATGAAAGAGAACTCTGTTTTTCCTAGAAAGCCAGTCCACCTTATAGCAGACAAAACACGGAGACTCTTGTAGAAATGACCCTGTATTGTCCTGCCTGGTGGCACTGGTTAGATGGCATCACCCAGACACACGTAACAGACCTGGCTGTGTGGACCACACTATGCCTAAGGGTACGCTTAGGGACGCTGTGGAGTTACATGGTGCTAAGTGTTGTTTCTTGTGCACCAACAAGAAAAAGCCTTAGAAAGAGGTTTATTTTGCACTTCACAACCCCAAGTGCTTCCTCCCTGTGAAATGTCAGAGGTCAAAGACCAAAATCCAAGAGCTTTGAATCTGTGCCTGGTTTCACCAGAGGATTAGCACTACTAATCTCTGCAGTGTGGCCTGGAACATACAAAACCAAAATTACTAGATAAGAAGGAAGAAAGCTTTTAGAACTGCAGATAAAGCAATATCAATTGAGATAAGGAGAAATCAAGGGAGGGATCTAAGGAGGAGAACAAATGAAAATTAAAGAAACAGGTAAAAAAATCAATTGTCAACACTAATTCGATCTATAATTTTCTCCCTCAGAAGAAACACAGAATATTAAACACTGGTCCCGAGCTGTCAGAATAAAGGGCCCACATGAAACTGAAATAAGATGCTTATGCTCAGGATAACACTTTTATTATTCACAGGGACTTGAGAAACTCACATTGAAAAGCTAAAAGCACTTCAAAAGTAAGGGGAAAAAAAGCACCCCAAAACACCATTAAGCTCACTCTTGGTTCTCTTTTCCCTGAAAAAAATCCTACTTCAGCCTTTAGTGTTTACTAAACTAGTACAAGGTAAAGATGTAAATGGGGCTGGTTACAGCATCGTCTGGCAGCACTGACTGTTGAGACAGGGGAAGCGCCAGCAGGTGTGTCACTAGAGAGACAGCGGCACTGACTCACGGCAACACTGTGCAGCTGCAGGTGTGAATAAAGGGCACACGGACTGAAACTCTCTGGTCAAAGTTCCAAAGCAAACTACTGCTGCATTCTACCTTGCTCCTTCTTCATTTATCAAATCAAGTTAAAACTGGCAAGTAAATTAGTTATTTTTATAGTATTGGATGAGCGAGGCAAGAGACTTGTCAACTAGGATCCACAGATTCTCTGAGCGATCTCTCAGCATGGACAGATATTTCTGCCACACATAACAATCCACTAGCAACAGTAATCAAAAAATGTCTTGTTTGAAATCCAAGTTAAAAAGAAAGCTTTTTAAACTGGAACATGTCTGAATGCGTTTAAGTAATTCTGGATTTGCAAACAAACTGTTCTTAATGTACTTACGTGTTGGTGTTGGAGGTAGCAGCCGTCTCCTAGGAGATCTTTTTGTATCATAACAGATCTGTGAATCGTCTTCCTCAAAAAACCCATGTGGGTGATGGTAACCTTTTGGTCTCTCAAAGTCTGAGTCATGGCAGTGATATCTACAGTGGTAATCATATACATGCCTGCATTTAAAATACAATGAAGAAAATGTTATTTCAGTTTGTAAACTGATCTATTAGAGTTCTTTTAGAAGCTTTTCAAATCTATTCTTTCTCCAGCAAGATAGCCAAACATTACATTATATAGTTACAGGAGTCAATTTTAAAATTCAGTTTCTGGATGCAGTGTGAGACAGTGAGCATCCACTTTGTACTAGTATAGCTACATAGCAAGTGCTCAGGTGGAATTTTTATCAAATTACGTTTTCAACAAAGTTATTCTTACCAGTACAGGCTAAAATGTAGGACCTTAGTTGTACATTGCTTAAAAAATAAGTAAATTAAAATACTCGGTTCTACTGCCATACTCTTGTGAACCCTGGGTGACATGCGGAGCACAGAAACTCAGAGAATGGAATTAAGCCTTTTACGCTCTGGATATTTCTCTTGCCAAAAATAAAATCTTGGAAGGGTGTTATTTGGCTGTAATTATCATATCAAAAAATTAGTGACCTGAGAATTCTGTAAAATTTACCTTTCATGCAAATCTTCGCTGTTATGCAAACCAACAAGATGCAGATTAGGGTGCCAATCTTGCCAGACTTCAGATAACAAAGAAGGACAGTGGAGGAGGCGAATTAAGCACGTCTGGCACTTGTGCATAGGCACTTATGGATCTAAGATAAAATTACAATAAGTTCCTCTACTTCTGGGCTGGACTTCAAAATAAATTATTGACAGAAGGGGAGGATTTTTTTTGAGAAATTATTGAATTTGTTTAGTAAAAGGGAAAAATATCTATTGTAAGGAAGATGAGCACAATCTACTCAAGATCTTGTAAATGCATATGTCTAAGTCATAATGAGGTGAATATTATGGAACGAAAAAAAACCATGAGATTTTGGGAAAAGTTGCCTTTTTTTTTTTCAAATAGGAAGCCTTTTAGTATTACCAAATATAGGTTCTGTTCCATGACAGGTTGATACTCAGAAAACACTGCAATGGTCTCACCTTTTAAAGACTAAATGTTCAAACATCAGGACTTCCTCCCCAGGTAGCACCCATCCATTGCCTGAACAACTGGAAACCTATTACTTAAGTACAGGAGTGGTCCCAAGGCAAGGTTAGGACCTGCCCTGTTGCTGAAGCCACCGCTGCCTGAAGCCAATGGCACAGTGCCCAAATCAAACTAATTGGTAGTACTCAAAGCTGAGCTAGCTTGGGAGCCGCTGTTCTGAAGTTAGAAAAACCCACCCCAGCCCATTTCTGAAGAAACGGCATGTAATAAAGTTGCAGAGAAAATCTTAAATTTACCAAAATTAAATCAAGGCCTTTTCTTCTTGAATTTGAAATTAAGACATTGAATGCAAACATCACAGGAGTTAAACACACAGGATCAGGCAAGAGTTGTTAAAAAACACTACTGGACAGAAATACTATAACTACCTAGGTTACTACTCCAAATTTTGGCTGAAGAAAACAGAAATTAGTTAGAAAACTGGGAGGAACCAGGTTACAGAACTAGAACTCTGCAATTACAGCAAGGAGCCTCATATTAATACAAAGTTGGACATTGTGCAGTAATACAAATTTGTAAGAAATGCTAGTTGTTGACTAAAATTCAGTTGATGGCATTTCCATAAAGCTTATGCATAAACCTGAAAAAACCATCTATTCCAAACATACAAAGGCCAGGACAACTCTGACAGTGTTAAGTGTTTGTACTAGGGAGACAAAAAATGGTGCCAAGTGGAGGATTATTAATAATGAGAATTTTCAAAAGGAAGTCATCCAATTCTTTATTGTTCCAGCTAGTACTACCTTATGATGTCAGTCCATAGTTTACCTGTTTCACCTTTCAAGTTAAATTAAAAGAAGAGAACTGTTTCTAATGGTTCCCCCATCTGAGCTCAATCCTGCTTCCATTGTATGTGGAATTTTATTTATAGACAAAATGCTTCTTTGGTTACACACTGTCCGGTTCATGTTCAGTTCAAAGGAACTTTATGCTTTCCTTTGAATTTGGTACAGCATTTTTGCTGGACTCAGCACATGATGCCAAATACGAAAGATCTTTGGTACACACACTACTCCTATTCATCATTTCACTTGCCAGCAGTTGCTGAGTATTAATTTCATTAGTCAATCTTCAGTATAGGTGTGCTTAGTGAAGCCTTTACAGATACATACCTAATTTATTTAAATATTTTTCAGTTTAACAAATATCCTCACCTGCTTCCTGACAACATACTGTCTTCCTCATAATATTCTTCTCCACTAAAATATTCCTGCTCTCCTAAATAACGATCATCATTGCAATAGTCTTGAACTTCACGTTCTTCACGGCAAATAGTAGGTCGACGCCCATCACCAGAGTCAGATCTGTAAGTAGCAAACATTTGTATTTTTTTATATTTTATATATCTAAATGATATATTGTATATTTTATACACAGTTCTTTTAATGTGCTTCCAAGAAAAAAACAAGACAACCATTAACAACTCTCCTGTTATCAGAATGTGGTGTTACAGTAAATTGCATAGAACTACAGTTCCGAACATGACTATTTCATCTGTTTCTTAAAGACGACCTCACTTTATTTCCATCCCCATTAAAATAATTAATATGGGGATCCTCAGTGAAGTCAAATAGATTTAAGACATTTTTACAAAATATAAATTCAGAGTACTTTGAAGAAACACAGCCTCTCTCAAATGACTGAAGTTTGCCAAATGGCTAAAATATTAAGGAGCGCTCATTTCAAGTGCATGCCAAGGAAAATCGGGAACGGGCACGCAAATCTAGACATTAACAACTAGCACTGAATGTACATTTAGCGATGCACTTCGAATAACACAATATATCCTATTTTTAAAAGTTGCCTTAGAAAATATTCAGACATAAGACCAGGAAAGATTCTGGGTCCCCTATAAATGGAACTGTATGCGTTAGTATTTATCAAAGATAAAGCCACTGTTTTTCCGGTGTTTGCAAGTCAATTTTAAACAAGGGCTGCCATCAGGTGTGATCTTTTGTCTGTTGAAAACTGCACAAACCTGCCCGGACTTTTAAAAGGGCTTGCATAATTTTGAACTTCACCAGAAGTTTATCCTTCTAGAACAGGCAGTGGAAAACTTGTCTTAGAAATCACCACTTAAGTTACTGTACTGCTTTAAAAAAAAAAAAAAAAAAAAAAATAAAAAAATAATAATAGGACAAGGGGAAAAGGAAAGGAAAAAGAAACTACTTTGTCCTCTTCAATTATGTCAGAACAATATCAACTCACCTAATATATGTTTCATAGTAGCGGGTTCTACCCAGGTAAGCCATGAAAAGAAGGAGAAGGATATATTAAAATCAGGTAGCTTAGAGAAATTCATTGGTGACTACAGTGTCCATGCTGTAACTAATAATTTAATTGTAAAGAAAACTACTATTTTCCAACCTTATTAAAGTTATACACATTTCCTGTACATCAGAGCTATATTTTAAATGTTTCATACATCAGTAGGCAACAGAAATGACGCTAAATATACAAATTAGTTTCATGTAGCGTAAGTTTTCTTATAAAGTATTTATAATATATAAGTTTATTTAAAAGCAAATATGTATCTGTAAATTTACCTCCTACTGCTTGGCCTTCTACGCTTCTCGTGATCAGTTCTGGAGTATGAATGGTAACCATTTTCAGATCTATGCTCACGATTTCCAAAATTTGTGTGTTTTCCATGAACAACTTTGGACACGTTGGCATTATTGAGATTGGCATTTGTTGAGTTTGGAACTTGCTTTCCTACTGAGTTGTGATGACGATGATTGTGGTATACAGAATTTCCTGCATGAGGATATATATTTTTCTCGGTATCAGTTGCAGATGGAATTGAAGGCCGCTGAACATGTAAGGGACGGTGTGTGGTGTTGATCTGTTGAAACGAATCTCGTCTGTCACTGCTAATGTGGTTTATGTGGTTGCCAAAGAGGGCACCATTCCTCTGTTTTAG